AGGTGATCGAACTCATAGGTCACTTTCAATCAGTAGATTCATGATGGAGGTCACAAAAAAAAAACGTGAAATAAAAGAAATACATGTGCTTCAGTGTTTGTGCAGGGTGACTGTGCAGGGTGAGTTGTGACCGTAACCATTGATGTTCTGAAGAAATGACCTTGATGCAGTAACTCAATCGGTACCCTCTGAAGGTTACGACAACTGAGGTGCAATTCGTAAAAACGTAAAATGCCAGAAAACGCAAAAGAAGAAAAAATTTAACACGCAAAGTATACGAAAATGGCTCACAGAAACAGCTGTATCTCAGTGAATGATCAAAATTTTGAAGTTTCAAAAAATGCAATGAAAAGGAGATAAGAAATTCTACACAAAAATAAAATAAAAATTTTTTCGATTTCAAGTCCCCTTTGAGCCCTTAACCATAAATTACGTTCTTAAATTATAAATTAATTAAATTGTTATACATCTGACTAATTTGATTTTATATGGATACTCAGGATACATGAGCAGCAATTCCCAATAAGACTTTGAGCTTGGAAAATGGACATCTTCAATATGAATCATAACGATCAGCTTCTGTCTGTAAAAGCGTCGGAAAATCAAAAATGGATTCGATTTATGTACTCATTATCATTAACGTCTGCACCGTATGAAAATGAAGGTCAGGAGTACGAAGATTTTCGGGGATTTTACAAACGTGAACAATTCGATTACTTATCAACGGATGATTCATTCATGGCATACAAGAAGACTTGTAAATATTTGAGTGAAAAAGGAATCAATCTCGACCTTGAAAAATTTCGGAGATTTATCGCGGCGGTTCAAAGGCACAAGGAAATGGAAGAATTGACTGACAATCATAACTTCAAAAAATACAGATTTAACATTGCTTGCCTTCGTGGAATTCTAGGCGAGGTTCGCGCTTTCATAACAAGTGGCTTGAACATAAATAAATCATCCGACATATTTAAGGTGTTGACGACACCGCTGCATCAGGCTGTTTGGTTCCAAAATGTTGAAACAGTTAAGTTGTTGCTATCTAATAATGCAGACCCAAATGAAATAAATGGCTATGGTATGACACCTCTGCATAAAGTCTGTGCTGAGCTCTACGATTTTCACCATCGACGAAGCTGTATTGAACACGAATCATTAATGTTAAGGCTTCTCCTCAATCATCGAGCCGATATTCATAAAAAGGATTGTTTTGAAATTGCTCCAATTTTTTACATTTTCTCGAATAATCTGTTCAATGTCATGATAAGCGAAGAAACAGAAAAATCGGTGCACGACAACGCAGTCAATACAGGTTTTCTGTACCAGTTGGACGTTTACGCTAAGGTGTTTTTCCGTGACACGATTGGAGCCAATGCAATAAACTTGTTCTTGAAAGCCGGCGTTGACGTTAACGCTAAAGACATGCTAGGAAATTCTTTGCTGCAGCTGGCCATATCCAATATCAACTTCAGTGTGGTGCATCTACTTTTGGAAAACGGCGCGGATGTGAAAACCATAAAATTCATTGGAGGTTATTTTGAACCTTATCTCAGTATTCTACCGAGTTTCGAACTTTTCCATAATCTTATGGATATCCTCAGCCTTCTACAGATTCGTGGATACGAATTGACTTTCCCGGATAAATTAAACATTTTGAACTTTTTAGTCAATTCTAAAGATGTCGTTCGCTATCGAAATGTATCCGGGTTATTTGCTTATGGTAAGTACTTTTAAATATTTTTAATCATATTCTCGTGAATGACTGAAAAATGTTTTTGTAGGATCTGCACAAAAAATACGCGAGACAGCCGATAAACTTTTGGACAGTAATCGACCTACCACTATAAGTGAAGGCGATGTACCAGATGAAAAAATGGTTTCAAGGATAGACTTTTACCTGCAGGTAGTAAAGGAAGGTGAAATGTATATGGAAGATTATACGCACATTTTTAATAGAATGCAAAGTTTCACAAAATACGATTGTCTCAACTATCATATTGAAATTGACTCAAAGTACCGAGCTGAAATAGAACTGGCTAAGCATACGACGTTAAACAATCAAAAGTCCTTACTAGATATTTGCCGAGCTGACCCTGAAGATAGGCATGACTTTTTTGTTGAGACGGACTACTTCACACTACTGACATCTCCAGACTTCGAAAGAAATTTCAAAACTACTCGACACATTATAAAGGGTTACTTTTTGAAAGCATTCGTTCGAAAGTACTGCATTATGTGGGGAGCGGATTTCTTAGAACGATTTTCTAAAAGCCCTAGGTCACGCTCTGACTGTGAAACTTTGATTAAAAGTTTCACCAATGAAAATATTTTTCAAATCATCAAATGGGTTTTTGATGGAAAAGATGAAAACCAACTAATTTCTGTACTTTTAGCAAAATGAAGTAAGAACGTGTGATAACGTTCGAAAAAAATCACAAAATGTGTACCAAAGTTACTGGTCCAGAATCCAGTTCATCTATATCTACCTCAATGCCACTTTGCTAAATCTAGCCAGAGTATTGAGCTAGTGATTTCATGATTTGCTTTTCGTGTCGGTATGGGACACGAGAACCAAAGATTTCCCTTCGTCCATCCTAGAACAAAGATGACCTGCAGGCAGCTGTTTTTCGCAATTAAGAAATCTTGGTTCTGAAACTCATTGTCGTTTACTCTTGTTGAGGAGTGCTCAAGGCAGGAATTCTGACGAATTTCGCTGTTACTCCCAGCCACGGGCGTAGGTCCTCAGCTCAATAGCTAGCCAGTTTGGCCATTATCGTCGGAGCGTCCTGAATCGCTTTCCGAACCTAGCATTCCGATGGAAAATTGTTTTGGCTTTTTAATGGCGAAGTCAGATTTTCGGAAATTAACTTTATACCTTTACAAACCAATTATGTCAATAACTTTATATTTAAGATTCTTTTAAGTAGTCTAGCCTTTTTAGATTTTACCGAGACATAACATTGGAGAGAATGATAAAAAACGTATTTTCATAGCTGACTGACGTGGTACTTGCAAAAACCACGTTTTTGTTTCTTTCTCTCGTTATATCTCGAGACAATTTTTCGTATAATCTTCTATCAAAGTTACTTTAAAAAATTATGTAAGCTTGTAATTTTATGTTAAATAAATCATAAAAAAGTCCTTACAATGTGTTACGCTTTATTCACTAAATTAATTCCAAATCACGCTCTTATTATATTATATGTTGATATCTTAGCAAACAATTAGATATTGTCGAATTAAAAAATATATCAAGTGGTAAGTTTATGAGTTCGGGTAATATTAAATGGTAATCTAAATGAATGTATGAAAGTGTAACTTTACATTTTTTAAATTAAATAAATTAAATCACTCGAATATGTTTATACATATCGGTACATAAAAACGCTCGATTAATTTTCATCGAACCGCAAAGTTGGAGACTCAATTTTCATTATGAATAATCAAATTAATGAAATATTTTATCGTTTTCGTAAATTAAATGTAAATTATAATTTTATCTATTTGATGAAAAAAAATATTATTAGTCGATTAAAAGTGATTGAACAAAAGTTGTAACAAAATATGAACATTAAAATAAATTTTTTGTGTTTTCGATCGAGAATAAAATTATTAGCATATTATTGTAAAGTGCATAGTGTATTTATTCAATTAAATACTTGATTGGTAATTGCGTTATTTTGAATTATATTGGACTTCTTTGTTGAATAATTAATTTAATTAAATACTTGGTTGATTTAATTTTGATATTTTTAGTAGACTATACTCATCGTTCGAATTAATTAAACACATTATGTTTACGAAGTAAAAGAAACTAAGTATTTTATTTTCAAATTCTTTCATAAATAGTTTTTTGATTATGTCTTTAAAAAAGTAACTAAAATATTTTTATAAACGTACCTTTGGCTTTATTTTGGAAAATCAGAAAAGAAATGAACAGTACGATTTATAAATAAGACACGCGTGAAAGTTGCTAATACTCAGGATAAAAGGATGCACAGCTGATGCGACCCGATTATCCCTCTTGAGAAATCCCGCTCTCAAGAAGAGTTTAAAAGTTTGAAAAGCTCCGGACGTCGTGACCTGTTTACCTGGTTGCGTACGAGCAGAAAAATAAATGCGGCGAATAGAAATTATTAAGCCTCGAGCTAATGCTTCCGTAAACACGAGCTTGCATCTTTGAATATATCTATATAAAATGGAATATAATGCCGAAAGCGATGAGCTCTGCCGAGTATATAGTTTAGAAGCCAAATCATCCCAACCAATGAAAGCTCCGGATTTCAGCGGGTTTATATACTCGAAGCTCTCAAACGTTATAATATTCTCTCTGGTCGTTGACGTAAATTGGGAAGCTTACAAACATGACAGACAGACCATATTTTACGAAATTCCGACAATACCTCGACGAGCGCGTCGTGCATACGAATTCGGTGAAAAAAAAAGGTATAGATACATGTATTCACAAGTACGTACTTGGGTGTATAAAATGCCATTCCAGCCGGCAACGGCATCTAATTCGGTGCGTTCGGCTCGTCCCTTTTAAAAAATGTGACAACGTTAACTTTTTTGTTAGCGTGCGCTCGAGCCTCTTAAAAAAAGTTGCCCCCTAAAGAGCATTTTAATACTTGGGCTTTGCAGCGAGGAAAATTGGAAAATTCGAGCTGCTGTTGCCGTTGTTATATGCGCGGGGGGACAGAAAGAGATATTGCCGTGTGTATATTCATAATGATCGCGAGGCGCCAGCTCGAAAAGTAGGAACAAACGCGGAGGCCGCAACTCGCAACGCGCAGCATGCAGATTTATTGTACGTAGCGCTCGAGCGCTCGAGATAGTAATATAACGCCGGCATAAACAGTGCTCGCTTCATACTAGCTTGCGCGTGCCTCATAGAAAAAGGCCTCGCGGGCAAAGTTGCGCTATGCACGAGCGAGCCGAGTTAATTACACGAGCCACTAAAGCCCGCTCTACATGTGTCTCTCTTTCTCTTGTGTTCGCAGGTGTGTTATCGAGGCGAGGCGCTCGAGGGTGTGCAGGTGATAAGAGCACACGGCAGCAGCCCAAGCAAGGAGGAAAGTGTCTCGAGGGTTAGGCGGCATGAGAAGTACGAACGCGCCACCGAGAAGGAGCAGTAACATCAGCCCCGAGAAGCCGAGACTAGGCAGGGGCTAAAGTCGACTCTCTCTCTCTCTCAAGTGCTGAGACAACTTCCTCGCTCTACACGTACTCTCCGCTGCGCAACGTGAGTTTTCTTTCGCTTTCGGCCCGCCATCCGTGCAAGCACCAACAATAACAACACACACAACGACCAAACATGAGATGGCTGGAGAAACTACTGCTGCTGGTGCTGCTCTACGCCGGCGTGCCGAGACTAATTCAGCCTCCCAAGGCTGAGGCTTTTCTCGAAACCAGAGGTGAGCCGAATAGAGACACCCTCCATTTCAGCATGCATGCGCACCTGTACGGATATACCATAGCCACCCTTTGCGCCTATATTAAATGTCTAATTGCGCGCGCGCGTGCCTATGGGCTAATGTTGCGCGAGCTCGAGCCGGGTAAGCGATACCCCAGCGTCCATTAATTGATTTTACATTTTTTATCCGCGCAGAGAGTACACTCGTAACAACGGGGGAAAAACAAAACAAAAATAAATAAATAACGGCTCGGATTAACGCGAGCGCGCATCAGAATAACGACTTTTGCAATAGGCCCGAATCAATTTTCACGAATGCGCGGTGCTGGCTTCGCGTAGAAATTGGAATTATGCCTAGCGTTCAGATTACCGTTTATTTTATGGCTTGCCGCGTGTTATTTATATTCCCGCGGCGCTTCAAACATTTACCCGGCGAAAAAAACATCGCGTCGAATCCGTATGCATGTAGCTGCGCTGTATATACGGGTAGTAACGCACAAATAGAGAAACGAAGCATAACTTTTAATTATTCCAGAGAGATGGTGAGTGAATGTTTAATTCGTTTCGCGCGCACTCGGCTGGCTGGGCGAGCGGCGAAACAAAAAACATTCATGAAGTACACCTGAAACATTCATGAAGAATATTGAAGTGCAAAATTTATACGCGAAGAAAGGACAGTTATCGAAACGTTGTTGAAATACGACAAAAGCCCCTCTGCTCCGGAGCATGATGCGCGTTATTATGCTTTGTATCCGTTGCGACTCGTGCGTGATCCCTGCCCGGCCCCCTGCGTGAAGCTCGCCCGAGAGCTTGCGAACGCGCGAGTAAAAATTAACGAGGCGCAATCAGCGCGGCATATATGCAGATATGTACCGGGGGCGCGTGTATGTACGAAACGCATCAACTGCGTCGCAGTGTGCATATAGAGACGGATAGAAAGAGAGCCGGAGACTAGAGTAACGATGGCGCACGGCAACCTATGCCGGCTGATAACAGAGACTTGCGGTAGCACATCTTCGTGTCCGCGCATGCGGTCGGACTGATTAATTATTTCGAGTACGCTTACTGCAGTGATGCTGCTGTGCTGTGCCACTGCTGCTACTGCTGCTGCTGCTGCTTCTGTCGTCGTCGTTGAGCTTCTCTTCTTCTCTACTACCCACCTACACAGCACAGGCTACAACACAGCTCGTGCGTCTATTTTCCTTTTCCGCTTCTGGCCCTCTCGTGAATATTCATGACCTTTGAATAAAGACACTGGTACACACGCCATGCTTTTTACAGCTGCAGCCTTGCTGAGAGAGAGAGAGAGAGATGATATTTAAGCACACGCCTGGGCTTGCGCGCATGTCGCGCTGCCAAACTTGCTCGAGGGATCTCCCATGTATCTTCAACTCGGAGGGCTTCTCTTTCTCTCTCGCGAATTAATTCGATATATTCGCAGCCAGAGCAGAGCAAAGTATCAAGCCGTATAGTCGGCAATCTGCGACTAGGAACGGCGCGTCAAGTTGTTTGAGAGAAAACTCGCGGCTTTTTTCCTAACAATAAGTTTCGTATCGTATACGAAAAAGATTCCTTAATTAGCTAATTGTTGAATTATTCTGCGTCGACGCTTCTATACGTACTTGATTTACTATGAGGGCACAAATTTGTTGCATGAGCTCAATGATAAATTAATTGCAACTGACTCATTCGAGGGCATAATACCTCGTAGTCCTGACCAATCGAATAGTAAACCATCTTATTTCATAACAATTTTGAGTAATAATCTTTAAAATTATATCAGAGTTATTTCACATGTAGAGTTCCTGTAAAGCTGTTATTTTTGGTTTATAAAAGTACCCGTGTTTATGGATTTTGAACAGAAGCAGCATTTAACTCATTATATGTGATTTGTTGTTGAATTTTCTACTAGAATTAAATTTTTAATTTTTTTACGATGATTCGTTTAAATTATTCAAGATCTTTGAAGAATATCCCATTGAATTGAAAATGAAAAGGGTAGGAAGTAATGTTTTGTTTGTCACTACTTTTATTCAATTGTAAAACTATATGAACACTGCTGACCTCTCACCTCCGCGAAATACAATGCAAAATATCTCTTTACACGTATATTATTGCTCCGACCAACATTTACTCGACTACCGATAATGCGTTTGCTTTTACATCGTATCAGATGTATGTCATTTATATTTATAAGTCAGAGATAAAGGTCAGTTCTCGAGTTTCGCGTACTGTATCAGCATGCACGTATAGTCTCGCCCGAAAGTAAAGGTACGAGGGCAGAAGTCAAGCTAAAAGCTGATTGAGCCGGACGCGTACAGCACCTGCTACGTGTACGTAGGTATGTATGTATGCGAGTATAAGGCCGTGTACGTAGCGTACGTACATATAATATCGCGCAATAGGAAGCGCGCACAGAGGCAAATAACGCCGAAGGTGAAAATAAAGCCAAAGTGCACGAGTATGTATGCGTGTATACAAATCTAGCGAAATTCCATACCGCATTGAATGCTAACGATGGCCCTAATAAGCACAGCAGCAGCTCGACTAGTTACGCACAAAGAGTAGGGATGCGCCAAGTAATTTCCATAATTTAGTAAGCAGCTCACGTGCTCTCGCTCTGTACTTTGCTGCGCGTACATACACACACGCGCGCGCGCGCGCAAACTTATATAAGTGCTTAGCGCAGAACTGGCTAACGAGTAATAATTAGCTACTGAATCGGACGCAACGTAATTATAAATTAGCATTTATAATCCCCCGCAGATAGACAGGCAGAGAGGGGTGAGACGAGCCGGCTCGTCACCGTCGTCGTCGTAGTCGAGCGATTGCATTCGTTTTATTGGAAATTAAAAATCCGACTGGGAGTGCAATTGACGTGTGTTTTTTGAATTAAACCTGCGGCAAATTAGAGAAAGACGCTCGCGCATCACGAGACAAGCTCCGAATAGAAGAAAAAAGAAGAAGAAGAAAAAACAGCCCGCCTCGTGCCTAGTAGTCATCGTGACATTCGAAACGTCAATTTCGTCTTTCTGCGTGGGAACGCGTGATAATGGAACGCGCGCCGACTTTTTTTTCACGCTTCAGTCAGCTTTCGTGCCCTGTATTTATGCTCACGACCCTTTTTCTTTTGCTCCCCCATAGGACTGTTTATATGTAATTATCAAATCCAACGAAAACATACATCGTTCTTTTGTATAGTTTCCGAGGCAATTGTATCGTACTTGGGGAAAACTTTTTTAAACGTCAGCGTTGCGCGAATTGTCAAAAGTAGGCAGAATACTAGCAGCATCGACAACGAGTCGCTGGTTTATTTATCACGAATAGGTCAAAGTTGCGAGACTCCGCTGAAGTACGTAACAAAAACAAGTGAAACAAACGTCCCAGCTAACATTTTTCGCAAATTCGGGAAAAACTAAGACGTAAACGAAGCTTATTTGACTTTTGAAAGGGTCGAGTCTTTTTTTTAGTTTTGAAAGGGGGAAAAAAAGAGAAAAATGAACGTCGGTTGGAAAATTTTCCATTTTCAAGTACTACATGAAAAGACACGGTATTACAGCGGTGGCAATTCATTATTGCGTCGCGCAGTGAATAGCACACGCGCACGACGTAAGTAATGCGCGTAGAGCAATCGCGTACATAGTACTATGTCTCGAGTAAATTGGCTAAGGCCTCGGCTGCGTGAGCAGCTCATTCAGTCGCCACCTTAGGCATATTGTGTGCGCGGCTCGACTCCCTTCCCCCCGTTGCCGAATCAATGAGTTATTATACCGCTTGTGGTGGTACTCGAGAAAGTGGCCGAACGCGCGATCAAAAAAATTCTCAATTGATTCCCTTTCGCATTATCCCGCACGCGCGCGGGCGCCTGTATACATATAACGTCGCTATTAATCAATTCGCGAGTGCTTGGGCTTTTAGAGAATTTCGCTCGACAGAGAAAAAAAGCTCGGCGCAATGGTCTTTTGCGAATGAATAATTCAATCCGGCCAAACGAGCGAAGGTAGGTAGCGAGCGGCTCCGAGAGAATAGGTATGGGCCTTTGTCGTTGCAAGCTCATTAATTCTCCATTAAGTCAGCTTCGTCACGTCATTGGTATATAAAACTGAGTCTTATTAAGGGAGGATCAGAGGCAGAGAATAGGCCAAAGCAAGTAATTTCAAGAGCAGCAGCGCATCAGCTGCAGGTCCGCAGCTATCAGTTTATTACTCGCTACTCTCTTGGCGCGCTATAAACACTATGGCTGCATAATCAAGTTATTGTTCCAATCTACTTGGAAAATTGTGTAAAGCCGGTTATCTTTTCTCGCCCCCGGCCCCTCGAGCTCGCGAGTGCGGCAAGTCCTTCGTCATCAAGGATGTCATTTGCACGCCCTCGACTCTCGAACTAAACACGCTCGCTCGCGCTCGACATCCACCTATGCACAGGATACGCTATACTGCTAGAGCGAAGGACCCGATAAAGTTTGAGCCCGCCGCGTCAAGCCTAAATAGAGATGAGTACACGCTGGATTTGCACCATCCCTCTCTCTCTCTCTCTCGCTCTCTCTCGCTCTCTATAGACTCGCAAATCAGATTAAGCCTGGATGTGTGTGTGTGTGTGTGTGCATTATGGGTTACTGCTGCATTATGGGGCTACTGCACACTCGCTGGACTTGCATAACAAGTAGACGTGGATAATCAACTTAATGGGCGACGCGCGCGCGATATGGAAAAAATTTATCTCGCGTATATAACGACAGCAACGAACGTCTTTCAATTGGGATAATTCGATAGCTCGTGCCCGAGGGTAAAAAAAGAATTGGTAATGAAATTTGCGTCGATGCACTTTCGGTACAATGCTGCTGGCCGATCGAGTTTTCTGTGCCATGGATTTTAATAAATAATTGTAATAAAAAAAGAGCTTCGGCCGATCGTTGGATTGACGGGTCGAATTCGTAATTATCATAAAAATTTCGATTAAACTGCGCGTGCGGCCAATACTCCACACATCGTGCCTAGAGTT